CAATGGCATTTGAATAAATGACCGAAATTATAGATAAAAAGTACGAGTTCTCACCAGAATAATCCCATCCGTACGGGCCTCTAGAAGCATTACAATACCTTATACCATATTGTGTGAACGTAGAAAAAGTTGTCTTATCCAGAGCATTGGCCAATGAGAAAAGTTCAATAGGTTTTGATAATGCCTAAAATTCAAGATCTTATGAATACATAATTAATATTCAATGATGTGATTAACAAGTAAAATCGAATAATCTTACCGGTGTTCCCTATGTTACGGCATAAAATGATCATGAATTAATGAAATAAGAATAATAAATTTGTATAATTTGACTAACCGTAAGTAAAAGAGCTCGTGTAGCATTTTGAATTAAGGGGCATATACTTCTAGACCTTTTTGTCTAAAAATGGATATTGATAATCAGTACAAAACAAAATTAGAAATGTTCACAAATATCGTATATTTGTAACATACATCTTTGTTTTTTAAATAATGCGCCTCATCTGTTATAACAATGTTAAATTTATCAGCCAAATCACCACCTAGTTTTGCAGCACAATCGTAGCTGGTGATTACGAATTTGGGAGAAGGGCGATTAATTTTATCCTTAAGATGAAATATGACTTGAATGTGACTTTCCCTAACTCCGAGCCATTTTTGAATTTCACTGCACCAAGTTAATCTTAAGCTTGATGGGCAAATAATTAAAACTGGCCATTCAGATTCATAAAATTTGCAAATAGTAAGTGCTTGAATAGTCTTTCCGAGGCCCATCTCATCACCGAGTAAAATACGACCATTCCTCATTATCGCTTGAGTTACACCTTCTTTCTGAAAACTCATCAAAGTATCCCATAACTCAGAAGGAATTTTTTCATGAATCTCGCGCACGGCATCATTCCGTTTAGCCTCAATATCATCTATATTACAAAATAATTTGACAACGTATGGTGGGAATTCATGAATATTCATTTTTAAATCCTTGACGTTCCTTAATTTTTGCATACAATTCTGGTACTGTGATAGTGGCATCACCCAGCCTCGTTCAGACACATTAAAAAGAGAGTTTTGAATTTCTTTCCATAATGATACTAGCTTTGGATGATAACCACGTACAATAAATTTATTTTTGTCGAAAATACAAAAATATATATCCACTTTATCTTGCTGAGGGACTAATTGTTTAATTTTCTGGGAGTTATTTGGCTGAACATTTTGCTTGCCCCAATCAGGAAGAATCCTTGAGCCACTCGTAGAAGTGTCTGCAAACGAATTGGACGATTTATTAGAAGTCGTATTGGTTGAAGAGATATTTATAGTTTTCTGAGGCTTCGGAGCAGATGGTACGGTTTGAACAGCAGTTCCGGATGTGTTTGAAGAGGAAGAAGAGTTGTCCCAAAGGAAAAAGCCACATTTTCTAAGAGGGCAAGAATAAAACCAGCGCCCTTTATTGGGACCTTCTTTTTTTGTCTCGTAATGAGTAGCATTTTTCCCACATTTGCAGAGCATTTTTGAATACGAAAAACTATTCTTAATCTAAGATCAAATGTCTGATATCGATAATTTAACACTATACGTATACGTATCTACTGATCTAACAAAAGCTAAGCAACGCGTCATTTATAAATTGATTGTATCCACGTGATTGAACCATTATTACCAAAATAAACACTATCAGTGATAATAAATCAATGAAAGTGACAATGATAAATTTAAACTGTGAAAAAGATTCAAATACATAAAACTAATTAAGATAATACTAATACACTCTTCAAATGAACATGCGTATTTTATAGACGACACCAGGGCGACCCCTCGAAGTTCAGGTTGATGATCAATATCATTGCTGCAGCATATGATTCTGGTCAAAATTATATCATGTGTTACATAATGTAGGCCAATCTGCGCTTATTTACACAAAACAGCCACTAATATGTTGCAGCAATGACAATCCGAACTTCGGAAGGGCCGTCATGGTGTGTCTATTTTATACACAATGAAAATAACTGATCTCGTCTTTTATGTTGCTTAGAGTTCATCCATTCTTGACTGTTCTAGTAAAAAAATTTCAAAGATCAAGTGTAACCTAAAATCTAAAATATATACTTAACACTAAGGTGGTAGCTGCATACGTATAATTTTTTTATTGGTAAAAATCATAAATAAAATAATGCTATGGCAGTTTTGTATTAAAAGACTTACCGTTCACCACTGTATACAGTAACCCCAAAAATAATACCCCTCTTGATTATTACTCACCACCCACCTGGCTTAATTCTTGAATAGTACCCGGGGGTATAACTATATGAATTTATTACTGTTCATATGATATATCCCCCAAATATAATACCCGGTTCCTCACACAGTACCCACGGGCAGAGTTGGCAATGGAGTTCAATGGAGCCCAATGGAGTTGCGAATGGAGCCAATGGAGCTCTGAATGGAGCCAATGGATACTGGTTTTTTGAGCTCCATTCGCACAACCATTGAGCTCCATTGGCTCCATTGCCAACCCTGCCCAAGGGTACTATTCAATTTAAAAAATGATGTTCTTGAATAAGACCCCGGGTACTGTATACAGTGGCAAACGGTATATACTATACTATATAGTGACTCTCGATATAACGGAGGCTATGGTTTCGGTCATTTGCTCCGTTATATCAAAATCTCATGATACGATAAATCATAATTTGGGTTCCGTTATAATTCTCCGTATTAAGCAATATCGATATCATAATGAAATCGGATTAAAATGAAATGAGGGGTTTCTATTTGACCCTCTAAAACCCATTTATACTTGTTTATTATAAAACCTGCTTCTAAACCCTAATCCTAACCCTAAAAAAAATGCTAAAAAAAATGCACCCCAGAAATTTGTGGTTTGTCTATTTTACACTATCGCTCAATTCATTTTAATTTGATTTCATTTATTTAATTTGTGTAACTGTAAGTTTGAGACTGTTATTCATTATACATAGCAACCGTCAACGTATTTTTCGATTAAAAAATTAACTTTCGACGTTAGGGTAAGGGTGAGCATTGGGATGGTAGTAGAAAGGATACTATATATAGCAAAATTTGCAAGGAATTTTTTTTGTTGAGGCGCAGAAGGATGTTTTATAATCAAAATTTTGTTAGCGTTACGTCTGATTGGATGTAGATCGGTAATTAATTTAATTGTCAAATGATTGTCGCACCTAAATTTTATATTCCCGACCCTGTTGGGTTTGCTCATTTGAAGATTCTTACAAAATTTTAAGAATAGTTAAAAATAAAACGACTACTAATCTTGATTTACGAGGTTTATAATTTTTTTTATAGTTTATATTATTTGTTTATTAATAACGATAACGCATTTTATTTAACCAAAAATTGATTGTACTCAATTCCGATATTCTTCGCGAAGTTTTTCAATATCTAGAATATGGACAACTTTTCTGTTGCGTTCTTACGTGCAGATTGTGGGCCGAAATTGCTATTCCTTTATTATGGCAAAAGTTTCTTAATGACATTGAATATCGTTTTAATGAAAAAAGACAAAAACACGGTTTAACGACATTCGACTTCTTAACCAAATATCCAAGATTTCTCTCACACATCCACAGTTTAAACTTTAACATCACAAGGATGATGGGTTTGGAAGAAACTCTCCGCCTTCTAGATCTCGTTTTTGAAAACTGTAAAATTCGCAATGTCCGTTTCGACTATTATTGGTTAGATGAAGTAACGAATTTGATCGAAAAATATGAATTAAACCTCGAAACGGTTTATATTGACAACGATAGTGAAAATATCGAAATCGGAATCGGAAATGCAGTCTTTTCAAACATTTCGGAGTTAGTGGTTCAAGGTCTGTTCTATTACGAAGGAACAGACTTTTCACAACTTTCATATCAGAAGCTTTATCCCATTTATATGAAGAGTCTTCGAGATATTTTGGATCGAAAAAAGCACAGGTCATTTTTCGGTGTTCAAATCTTGTATGATTCCAAAGAATCGTACTATATCATCGTGATGTGTGACCATTGAAAGAGTTTTAATTTCTTTAATAAATATATCTTGCGAAATATCATTATATGGAGTCTTTGCCTTAAAAATCACCTTCTGACATTTTCGATCATGTTAATTTAGACAAAAATAAACTTGAGTACTGGTTCATGTTCATATATTAATTATCTTTTAACTTTATTGATTCAATAGTTTATCGAATAACTATTGAATCAATAAAGTTAAAAGATAATTAACATATGAATATAAACTGGTACTCGGGTTTATTTTTGTCCGAATTAACCCAATCAGAAATGTCAGAAGGTGATTTTCAAGGCAAAGGTCCCATATAGCGGTCTTTGCAATATCTATTTATAGTGTTTATTCTATACTATTTAGCCTGTCATATGATTAGGGTGAGTGGCACAAAGGTCATTGGCATGCCTTTGTTATAATGTGCTTTTTAATGTAATAACGCTCTTTTTTTATTTTTATTGTTTGTAATATAGTGGAAAGGGGATAAAAATAATATCAAAATTTTCGTTTTTGATCTATTATTAATAAAATATCAAAAATGTAACTTTGAATTTTCTGTGCATATTGTGATACAATATGCAATAGATATGTTTTTGATGCTTTTATTAATAATATATCAAAAACGAGAATTTTGATATTATTTTATCCCCTTCCCACTACTCTCTAAACAATAAATATAAAAAAAAAGAGCATTATTACATTAAAAAGCATATTATAATGAACCAGACAAATATAATTTTATTTGTGTATATTTGCTAGTTCAAGAGTTATTGCAGCTTAAGCTTTCTATGTTTTTACTATTAAATTAATGCTGATCTACAATACACTATAAAAAATCTTGATTAATGATCATCATTATGTGACTTGTACTATATTTGTAATTAGACTGATATTGTACACCCCAATACTATATAGCACGCAATATTTTTTAGCTATGCCACTCACCCTACATATAATGACAGGTTCTAATGCTAGTACATATAAAAAAAAATTTAGACTCAGACTAGTCTGCAGACTTCAGACCAGACCCAGATCAGACTCAGACTTGATTAAAAAGTTTGAATATAAAAGTCTGAGTCTGGTCCAAAAATCAGACCAGACTCAAACTTGACTAAAGTCTGGTTTGAGTCTGGTCCGTAGAAGCATTATCTAAAACGTATTCGATCATTTGATCATTATAAAAAAGTTTTATTTTATGTTCAATTTGCGATAATATTATTATTATAGCATCTACCAAAATCACCAAAATCGCAAAAATCACAAAAAGGGAATTTTCAAAAAATTATTTCTTAACAAATACTAAATATTATTATTTTTTTAATCTCTATTTCAAACCCAGATCTCTTTTTGCCAAAAAATTTGATCAAAATATTTGTTTTTCAAAAAAAAAGTTACGTTTTATAGAGTATTACAGAATCTTAATGATGAATTATTAAAAGTTGAAGAATATACAAATGGCCTTATCTATAATGCGGCTCATAGATATGTTCAAGATATAGATAATATTTTTTCATCTTTGTTATTTCATTGAAAAAAAAACTGATAAATTATTTTCTCGATATAGAAAATTGTATAAACAAAAAAAATACCTCGAGTAGCTTTAATAGATATTCTACAAGATCTTCATCTAGTAGAGAATCTTCCACAAGTTTATCTAGTAGAGAATCCTCACCTGTAATTCTTAAAAAAACCTATACATCTGATCAAAATTTATGTCAATTGGTGCAACAGAAAGGGTCAATCAATCTTGTTTCAACTTTACTGTCTTTGACTGATATTGTATCTACATTATCGTCTTTGAATTCAGATCAAAAAGATAAAAATCTACCTTTAAACACAAACATCTCAAATGATAACTTATCGATTAAACCTTGTTTCATTGACAGACCGATTCAGTACAAACTATTAACATTTGTATACGTAATAATAGCTGACAAACATATAAAAAATTAAAAAAAATTCTTAGCCGCTATTATTGCTTTTCTAATTTTAGCTTTATTTTGGTATAACCAAAAGGTATTATACAGAAATAGTATTTTTTAGTATGTATTTATCTTTTATGCTAACAAATTTTATTTTTAGACGTCTTATACTACTATTAGCAATTTGATAGAAACTATCAACGCAGAAATTTTAAATAAAGTAAATTTATAGAAGAATACTGGTGCATTGAAGATAGAAAATAATGCACTACAATCCGAAGTTATAAATTTGAAAGAAGCAAATACCATTTATAATAAAAGAAAAAAAATCTCTGAATCACAAGAAAATGAATTAAAAGACAAAATCAAAGCTCTGAGTGACACAATAAAAGAATATAAGGTCACTATTAAAGACCTCAAAAATCTTGAAATAGAACTAAGAAATAATAAAATTGAACATAAAGAAAAACTTAGAGAACTCATAACCAAAATCTATTTATTAAAGAACAAAAATGAAGAAGTAAAAAACAAAAGAAAGCAATTAGAAAGTAGGATCACTATAATAATCAAAGACTAGGACCAATTAATAGAAACAATAAATGAATTACGATTAAAGAAAAGAGAACTAAAGAAAAGACACGATCAAGAAAAACAAGAACTTCAAGATAAAATAGAAGATTTAGAAGCAAAGAAATATAACAAAATTGTCAGTAAAGCAAAAGGAGGATATAGTTAATAATTATACTATGTAGTTAAATATTAATAGTTTGGAATAATATAATTTTTGTAACTTTCTTATCTAGTAAAGTTCAATCATATGAAATAAAATTTTCAATCCAATTTCGTTAAAGTATCTGACTTGACTCAGATAATTATCATTTCCAAAAATTGATTGACATGGAATCTGATCTAGATATACGAAAGCCTAGATTTCTTTCGATAGTGACTAGGGTTGAAGGCACAGGGCACAAGATATACCTTTTGGGCCAAAAAGCATGCCTCTATTATATAATAATCAATATTAAATCACGTGGTAATGTAACACACTAATTGGCTATTAACTTAGATCGATTTTAATAAGAAAGTATTGAAATTGTGTCAAATATAAAAATACAAATATAAACTTTCTATAGTTGTAATGGGTATGGTATTTTTACCGTAACTTATAATAATTTATGCATTATGATCAGGTATAATTTTCAGATTGTAATAAATAAAAGTTTAATCTGCTAAACAAATAATTTTCCATTATAAAAATCACCTCATTTATATAACTTTTAAGCTCTGATATAAATAACCTTTATTTGCATTTTATATTTATCAAATTTTGCATTCTAACTATTATTCAGCATTTGAATTTTATAATTTTTATGCTCGTGAATTACACATATTATTATAAAAATTATAAAATTCAAATGCTGGATAACAGTTGAGATGCAAAATTTGATAAATATAAATACCGGATAGTAAGAAACATTACATAGCCTGATCAAAAATTGGATTGGTTAGCTATTTTTAACTAGCCAATCCAATTTTTGATCAGACTGTATAATGTTTTATTATCAGCTAATATGTTTAAGCACGAAGTACTCATAACTATGGTACTATCCCTTAAACTGTATTCCAGGCAAATTTGTCTGGAAAATTTAATTGTATTTAGTATTTTTTAAATAAAATAATAATTTATTAATGATA